CACCCTCCCTTCTCCACCTTACGAACACACATACTCATAAACTCCAATCCTCCCCCCAACAGAAGGTAAAGGTATAGATGCTTTTTATTGTTCGCACTCATCCTTCTCCATACCATAATCTAGATAACTACTGCCAACACAATGCTGAGGCACAGCATGATTAAGTAAGCTATTCAGAGTCACAGTCAATGTAAATATGAGGTAAAAACAAGTTTCCTCCTAAAACTGCACTCCAAATATAACCTCACACATTTTCTGCATTTTAAAAACAAAGCAAGGATGCTTTTAGACAACACATTTACCTCTTGCTGAAGTGTGAAATTGCATCTCAGAGTGCTCCAGTTACAACATCCATTTTGATGGGGTAACAATTCATGCACTTTAACTTGGTTGTTTTTGCCACAAAGAGAATCCTGAGCTGACCACATAAGAACTCCTGGACTGAACAATGTCCCAAACATTCTTCAACTGCACCCAAAGCAAACAGGAAGCAGAAACAGACTACCAATTTTGATGGTTTAAGAACTTTCCCGTGATTGGTCAGTAAAGGCACAAGGATTACTAACTGGTTGCTTAAGATTCTTCTCCCATTTCTTTCTGGGAGATCACATTTTCCTAGATATTTTGTTATTGGGAAAATGTGAGAGTCAGACTTCACCTTCTCTTGAACCACAGTGCAAGAGGGAAAGAGAATCCAAATTCAGAGCTGAGCTCCCACTATAGAGGGACTTGTACCAGAGGTTCTGCTATCAAAGAGATAAAGCCAGAGTGACTCTGCTCAGCTGCCAAACTGGATTAAGGACAGAGCGGGAATCTTGAAGAGAGCACAAAACACCTTGGGGCCTTTTTGTTATTGCCCCTCTCTGCAGTCCCAAATTCCTCTATCTCATATTACTGGACAAGATGAAGCCGGTGATAAAAACATCAACTTAGACAGCAGTCTTTATTCAGGTCACAGAACAGAAATTGTACACTTCAAGGCATAACCTCCAGTAAACTATGGAATATGCAGAATTCATAAGGCAAAGTAAATTGTCTGCGGCCCAACACATTACGTGAAAAATTAATAAGCATCAGCTGTCAAACAAGACATGGGGGAAGGGGGAGAGAATTATATTCAAATCAGCACATATTTAATTCAGAACTTCAAATGCCCATCCCACATTCTTTTGCACAACTTTTATGCAACTTTTATGCAACACATTGAATGCACTGGAGTAAGTCCTATAGGAATCAGGGGCTTACTTGTGAGTAGTCATTGCACTGTTACACCAGCATTTTCAGGTATAACTAGAAGCAATCTACCCTTTGGAGAGGGAAAGATAGTTAATATTAATAAAATTCTAAGGATGCAGCTTATCTATACTACTATACTATACTATACTATACTATACTATACTATACTAATATCACCGTACTACTAATAATGTATTTATACCCTTCCTTTTTCCTTGACTAGGCTCAAGGTGGCTTGCAGAAGTACTGCTAAAACATAGAAAAACCAGTCATTAAAATACTTTTAATCTGGATGCACTCTGGACTTGAATGCACGGAATCTTCAACAAATTTGGAGTATAGCTTCTGTTTTGGCTGCTACTGCTTATCAGAAGCACACCCCACAGTAATATAGCCCTCCAGTTCCTACACCAGAACAATGGAAAAGAGCGAAGAATGCTTGCATTGGATGAGGTGAAACAGACGGATGTCCCAAGACCTTTGCCAAAACTACTTGCCCTGCATTCACTCCTGCTCATCATCCCAACTTGACTCAATGAATATAACTTTATTTTTTTAATCACCACTTTCATGAGTCATGGATATAATAAGCAGAATGAATATGAGGTCAAGATATATTCTTGCTTGGGAGGGAGACAGTGCCATAGAAACAAGACCCTGATCCTTGCTATTTATAGTAAAGGTAAAGGTACCCCTGCCCGTATGGGCCAGTCTTGACAGACTCTGGGGTTGTGCGCCCATCTCACTCAAGAGGCCGGGGGCCAGTGCTGTCCGGAGACACTTCCGGGTCACGTGGCCAGCGTGACATTGCTGCTCTGGTGAGCCAGAGCCGCACACGGAAACGCCGTTTACCTTCCCGCTAGTAAGCGGTCCCTATTTATCTACTTGTACCCGGGGGTGCTTTCGAACTGCTAGGTTGGCAGGCGCTGGGACCGAACGACGGGAGCGCACCCCGCCGCAGGGATTCGAACCACCGACCTTTCGATCGGCAAGCCCTAGGCGCTGAGGCTTTTACCCACAGCGCCACCTGCGTCCCTAAAGCTATTTATAAATCTAAGAAAAACCCAATCAGTTGCATTCCTTAGCAACTTGCTGTGCTGCTGTGTTGGAAGTAAAGTATGGCTATAACAACTAGGGGTGTGCATTTAGTTCAAATGAATTCTGAGCCAAGTTGGGCAGATTCAAAGAGTCTTGGGACTCTCCCAAGGTGAAGCAGGTTTTTGTCTTGACGTATTCCTAACTGAACTGGGATGTTCTCAAAGCCTTGGGGCCATTTTGGAAGATAAGCTTTGCAAACTACATACTGTATTTTTTGCTCTAGAAGACTCACTTTTCCCCTCCTAAAAAGTAAGGGGAAATGTGTGTGCGTCTTATGGAGCGAATGCAGGCTGCGCAGCTATCCCAGAAGCCAGAACAGCAAGAGGGATTGTTGCTTTCACTGTGCAGCGATCCCTCCTGCTGTTCTGGCTTCTGAGATTCAGAATATTTTTTTCCCTTGTTTTCCTCCTCCAAAAACTAGGTGCGTCTTGTGGTCTGGTGCGTCTTATAGAGTGAAAAATACGGTAGTTCACTCACATATATACAGTGGTACCTCGGGTTACAGACGCTTCAGGTTACACTTTGCTCCAGGATGAGAACAGAAATCGTGCTTCGGTGGCGCGGCAGCAGCGGGAGGCCCCACTAGCTAAAGTGGTGCTTCAGGTTAAGAACAGTTTCAGGTTAAGAACGGACCTCCGGAACGAATTAAGTACTTAACCCAAGGTAAACCTGTAGTGCCCAATTCTAAAGGAGGACAGGATTTCTGTACTGTTAATAGTTGTGTAGAAGAGAGAATTTTGGCTGGTACAGCTTTCTCCACATGCTGCATGACAAGCTACCTTCACTAAAATTTCCACTTCTATAGCGGTTAAAGATGCACAAGCCTGTTTGCTCTTCACACGTGGTAAGCCTGGCCTAGAAATCAGAAGCGAGAGTAAATTCTAGCTTCCCCAAAGTATCTCCTGACCCCCCTAAGTTCTAGGGGCAAGAGAATCATTGTAGAAATAATGGCGATCTGTCATGGATGCTTTAGTTGAGATCCCTGCATTGCAGGGCACTTGGGGGTCCCTTCCAATTCTCCAGTTCTGTGATTCTATGAATGGTAGCTATTGCATCAGAAGTTCCTAGCAGTCTTTGGGTGGATCGGAAGGTGGAAGGAGGAGAGATATTTGACCATTCTCTGTCTTCTCCTCACACTAGTTGCTGGCAAAGGCTTTCCTAGCGCCATGCTTGGTAACTGGAAATTTAATATTTTTCTTTCTCTGCTGTGGGACAGTGTTGCATGGAAACTTACCAGGGAAAAATCCATTTGACACATGTCATTGTTGCAACATGGGCCATTTTGGCTTGGAGAATGGTGTCACTACTGTGTCTTGCATGGTGCCAGGCATACCGTTGACACTAAATGTTAGTAGCAGCTGTAGTAATTATTAGGAACACATGATGTATTTGTCTCCTTTCAAACATCCATGTGAACTAAAAACTAGGTATAAAGAACAGAAGAGGTGACAGGAATACAAGGCTTAAGTCTACTGGTATCAATATCAGTAGTCACCGTCATTAATCCTTACACTGTCTGGTCAGTTAAGCTTTGCCTACCTTGGCTAACTCATACTAATCAACTCAGCTGCTGTGCACAGAATACAGGCTGTGATTAAGAATGTTAGGTGTGAAAGAGGGAATGGTGTGAAAAGATTACACCAACTGAAATATATATATATTGCCTGGATATATATACTCTTTCTCTCTATATATTTGTGTGTGTGTGTGTGTGTGTGTGTGTGTGTGTGTGTGTATGGGTGAGAAGGAAGTAGCACGTGCTATTGCTGGGCTTTGAAAACTTCCATTGCTGAGTTTATTGGTGCTGACCACACTTTTGCATAATTGCACCTTAATATGTAGGTACTTTATCTTACTGCTGCTGCTTTTGAGGATCTGGCTGATCTGTTTTGGCAGTACTGATTGTTTTTTCCCCACCTACAAACTTTTGCTGCTGAGGCTTCACAGTTTTTGATTTCATGGCCTATTGAAATTTGCTGATTTGCTATCACCATTGAAACATTTATTAAAAAAGTAAACTGATATTTTGATATGTACTGTTTCATTCTTGCTGTTCTATTTTCTGAATTGCTTTGGGTAATTCCATGAATTTTGTGGAAAAGCAGCATGGAAGTTGTAATAATAATGATGATAACAAACCACCTTTATGATACTTATAAGTTGAAAACTATATATGCAGAAGCTTCAGTTAGAGGAAATGAAACGGATAATGCATAGGACCACATAAATATAAAAGCCCTTTGCTAAACCCAAATGTCCTCGATGTGATGATTTCTAATCAGAAAAAGTTAAGTAGAAATGCCAGATACCTGCCCATCATCACATAAAGGGTCAGCTTCACCTATCATTATAGCTTAATCTTGTTGGCTTGCTTCAGCAGTAATATAACATTTATTCCTTCATTTAGGAAGGAAGTGATGCAGTGGAAAGTTAGACTGAAAATGTACCCCAAACCCCAAGAGGAGAACGAACTGCACATCTTATCAAAGGACTCAGAATACTTTCTGCCCCTCACCCCCATGAGTTATTTGCATGTGAGCACAATGGGCTACAGCTCCCAAAGGAGAATAAAAGGTCACTTCTTTGAAGAACTCAGGGTAGGCAGGAAACGGAGATTCAGACATGTCAGGGAAGAGCATTTCATTAGCCATGTTAAAAATGATCTCTAATTGCAACCCCTTGCATGACAGAGATACCAAAAACAAAAAAGGCACTTGGGCTGAATAGCAGTTATCCTTGGAATTTCATAAAATTCCCCAACTCTGTGGCTCACAAACATTATTTGAATCATTCTGAATAAATGATTCATCAGCTGGAGACTATGCAAATATTGGAATGTTGTCATACATACCAGTTCTATATTGCTCACTCCTTCTTCTACCAGACACACCAATCAAGGCTAATGCTCCAAGAAGTGACCTTACCTTCAATGCCTGGACTTTCTTGGCCAACAGACTCTCAATGTCCTCTGCCACCTTTTCCACTATTTTCTCTGGGACGTTCTCTCTTACATCAAACAGGCTCTTTTTTTCATCGTAGATCTGTTTAAAGATATTAAGATTGGGGAGGGGAGAAGAAAAATGGATATTCTGAGAAACAGCTATATACACACATAAGCACCAGCTTTAAGAAAATGTATTTTAGGAACTATAGACTATGAAGTGTTCATACAAATAGCAATCATATGCCCAAGACCTCTAAGTACTGTTAGAAATGTCATGCCTTTCCCCGGATTAAGAGAGACAGACAGACAGACAGACAGACAGACAGACAAAATCCACCATATCCCTGTCCCAGAAACAAGGCAAAAAAAGTAAAGAAATGAATGGCTGTCAGATGTTCAGACCACTATGGTGGGAGCCATCATGAATTACTGTGGGAGAGAAGACAAATGAAATGATATTTGGCATCCCAATGCTAAGGCAGCCTTAAATAACCAACCAACCGGCAGGGGGTGGGGTGGGTAGCACTGAAGGTGGAAAGGAGACTAGTAATAATTCTCTGAAGCAGGATGTTGTGCCTGAATGCCCAGTTCAGCTTGCTAACCTCCGTGAGATTTCCCACTTCCCCCCTCTTTTCTGAATATTCTTTCACTGTCATAGACTGAGCGCGCCACACAGTCAGAAGCCTTTGAAACAGAGTTTCTCATTTTCTTGGGATAGTCAGATTGCCCCCAAGCCTCAATCAGAAAAGCACTTCATGAAATGCCACGTATGCCCAACCCACTTTATAAAAACTAGCATACTGCCCTCATCCCTCCCACTGTGCATATAATTTAGTGGGGATGGAGACTAGCAGCAGATGGTCCATGGCTGAAGGTGGTAGGAAGAGTAAGCAGAGCTTAAAACAGACGGAAACAGGTTGGTATGATAAAAGTCCGGTAAGAAGGGAAGGAAATATTCAGGTAAATAAATACAAAACAGTGCAACATTAATCTGTATGGATAGATAGATAGATAGATAGATAGATTACATATAACACAAGAACTGTCATACCCTTTGGGTTATATTTGATGGTGACTTGAAATATGTTTGGATCAAATTCAGCAATGGGGATAGATTGGCATTTTGCACCAGAGCAACCAACAAATTCAGCAACCTAATGGACTCCTTTCACAGTGTTACCACTAAGCTTCAGAATTAAAGCTTCTCTTCACCAACATCCACACTACATACCACTTATACAAATGGTGTAAATAGTGGCCAACAGAAAGGTTGGGAAATAATAGAATCAATACATGGTGTGGCAGCAGGATTGTCCTCACTTTTAGACCCAGTTCAGTTCAATGCCTTGGCCATAGCAAGTAAAACAAATGTGTGCAGGAGTTCAGTGTGAATAAAGTAAACCTGATAACTTACAATCTTTACCTGGCAAAATGTGTGTGTGTGTGTGTTTGTTTAGGATAAAATGTGTAGCCAATACACATTGCACTCTACACACACATGCGTCACTGATACATTACATTCAATCTGTAGAGGTCAGCTTGCCTAGGGGCAATCAGGCAGAGACAAACCAGGTGAGCGCAATCCCATTTCACAACTGTGCATCTATTTTACAGAGTGTGCTCAGCATGTGAATAGGGCTACTGCTATCAGAATAAAGGAAAGCTTTTGAGAATCAATTACAGAAATAGATTTTTGAAGTTTGCAATCCAAGCTGCTTATGAAGGGCTACGAACACCCAACATGGCAATGTTTTGTTTTTTCAGATTTTGTTTATCACTAGTTGCCCCTTCCATACATTTCTTGAAACTGCCTTTGACCTGCTGTGTGAAATGGCTGCTCAGCAAACAGCAAGCTCCATCCTGATAATGTAAAGGCAGCTGGAAGTGAATTGATGTGTCTGAATAACAAACCTTAGTCCTTCTGCGTGCCAAACGTGTGTGTGTGTGTGTGTGCATGCATGCAAGGTGGGGGAATACTTTGCAGAAGCTGTTAAACAACAGAACTGAACATAACTGATTCTCATAGTCTCTCTTACTTCCTTTCTCTTCCCATGCCCTATTATTCCTTGGGTAAACAACAGCATAACAAAATAATGTGTTTTGAAGGCACACTGGCTCCAGCTGAGCAGTAGCAATTAGGGAAGCAAAAGAAAAGGAGCAATCTTCAAGGAGAAAGCTTCAGATGCAGAGGGCATCCTGACATCAGTATTTTCCTATTATGAAATGGCAAATCTGCTCCCATTGGTTGTAGCTAGCCTTGCCCATGAAAAATGGCGAGGGTGTGTTGTGCTTTTATGACATTGTGCCCTAATGCTGTCTGTCTTAAATGGTGAGGTAAGTCTATTAATTCAGTAGGGTTTACTGGAACATTTCAGTAAGGTGACAGTAACCAAATATTGCATGCATTTTTTATAGAGGGCACGCTGAACTATTATAATAACATAGTGGCGTGTGGTCATTACTGCAGAACAGATTGCTCTTGTTAAACAGCCAGCAGTATGGATGCTCATACAGAGAAAATGACGCTTATGTTGCCAGTGACTATTATCCCTAATCCTTGTCCTTAGTATTACATGCCCCTCTAACTACTGAAAAGTGGAACTGGTAAATATTGTATACTTGGGACTTCCAATAAGCTTTTGACAAAGTCCCTCACCAAGCAGCCAAGGGATAAGACGACAGGTCTTGTAATGGACAGACAACTGGTTAAAGAGCATGAAGCAGAAAGTAGGAATAAATGGAAAGTTCTCTCAATGGAGGGGTATAAGAGGTACCAAGAAGGCCAGTTCAACTGGAACTCTACACAAACCCCAAGACAATGTGTTTATTTTTGTTTCACTCTAAGCAAGGAGTGTGGTGTTAGAGAAAGTAATTGGAGGAAGCTAAAGCCAAGTATAAGTGCTGCTTAAACCCAGTATCATTTATTTAGAAGTTCCTGCTGTAGTTAGGGATTTTCCTACAGTAACCGATATGCATAATGAATCATGTATATGCATGCCTAATTAAACCCCCCAAACCAGTGACATATCTAATGCAGGTAAAGCCTCTAACCTGGCTATTAATTATGCCTTGTGATCAATGGATTTCCTCCAGAAAGCACAACTCACTCTAATTAAAATATGTACCCTTGTTTGCATGTCTTGAGAATTCCAAGCTTGACCCCTGCAGTGGACACAATATACCTTAAAGCAGTATTCTTTGACGTTGTGTCCCCAAATGTTGTTCAACAACAACTCCTACTACCCTCATCCAGGCTGGCTCAGGGATGATGGGAGTTGTAGTCCAACAACGTCATCTTGGAAGCATGGTTTTAAAGAAGCTATTTTGGCATTACGTTTTACTGTAACAATGCTTGCACCATAATGGTTGCTAACATGCATAGTGGTATAAAAATACTATATCTTTTGAAAGCCTGGGTGAGATTTTTTTTAAAAAATTAAACATCACATCATGAAACAATGGGCTTTGTCAAGATTGCCTCAGTATGCAATCTTAGCCCAATGTAGCCTCAGTTACAACATAACAAAACTATGCTCCCAACGTTGTATGCTTCCAACTGTTCTAAAAAAAATCTCTGCATGACAGAAATTATCTTCCTTACAGACACTGAAGACCTCTGCCACAACAGGCAGTGATGTCCATTAGCCTACATGCCTTTAGAATAATCAGACAAGTTAATAAATGATCAGTCTATCAACAGCTATTAGCCAAATGGATAGCTAAATGGATCCTCCATATTCAGAAGTACTGTATCTGGTTACCAGATGCTGAGAGCCAACTATCAGAGAAGGCCATCAACCCCTTGCCCTGGTATATCAGCTGCTAGGCACACTATTAAAAATAGATCACTATTGGAAACTGATCACTGCTGGAAACAGAATGCTGGACTGGATGGATCTGGGTGGTCCAGTTTGGAGATTATTCTATCCTACTATTTCACAACCAGGGAATCAACTTAGCAGGTGGGTGAATGAGGTCACACACCAGACTATTCCCAGACGCAAGCAGTGTTCAGTACTTGAGACAATGTCAGAAAGAACATCTCGTGGTTGCTCCATAACCGTAGTGTTCTTAAATTTCATCAGCTGATGCTTGTATCTCATAGTGTGATCACAAGCATAGTGCCATCTATATTATGCTAACAGGATGTCAGGTTCTGTGTAACATCAGAGATAATGAAGCAGGCAGTGGCAAGAGTGACAGCAGGCTTCATTGCCAGCGTACCAGAACAGTTTCTGCTGCTGGTAGCCTGTTATGTGGAAATCGCCACATACCACTGTAGTGGCAAATTGGGGAGTGGTGCAGCTAGGGCCGGGCCACAGCCAGCATTTCCCCCATGAGCAAATAGCAGCAAATGAAGGGGACAGTGGCAAAAAGGTCAGCAAGGATATGCCAGTGTCTATTGGGGCTGATACTGGTCACTGCAGAATCCTTCTTTTTAAATGTATTATATATATTTTTGGCGGGGGTGGGGAGACAACTGGCCAGACATATAAATGATCACAGATGCACACTGTTTTATTTTTAATATAAAAATGCACTATATTTTTAATACAGCAAATGGTGCTTATTCCCAAGTAAATATGTCCGCCACCAGGGCAGCAGAAGCAAACCACATTGATTCCTGCAGCCATGATGGTGCTGTAAATTAAGTGAGTTTAAAATGCAAAACGTCACACATGCTCAGAGTCTTGTTGTTTTTTTTAACGCAGAACTGGCAAACTGTATGGGTTTTTTGTTGTTGTTTTTTACTCTGACATATTAGGGATGCAAAAGCAGTTAGTTGTAAAGGATGGAATGGTGGTGGAAACGAAGTAATGTGCAAGGCTGCCTAAAGGGGGTACCCAAGAGACTAGGAAGTTGAAGGTGTAAAACAGGCATCCCCAAACTCAGCCCTCCATATGTTTTGGGACTCCCATCATCCCTGACCACTGGTCCTGTTAGCTAGGGATGATGGGAGTTGTAGTCCCAAAACATCTGGAGGGCCAAGTTTGGGGGTGCCTGGTGTAAAACTACCTTGAATTCAGCACAGCTGAGATGGAGACTGAGACAGATGCAGGTGGGGAGGAATTAGGAAAGAAGTAGCTATTTGGAAGG